AGTGTTGGAAATGATAGTATTGTCGTTGTGGATTAAGACTGCCAGTGTTGGATATGATAGTACTGTGTTTGTGGGTTAAGACTGCCAGTGTTGGATATGATAGTACTATGTTTGTGGGTTAAGACTGCCAGTGTTGGAAATGATAATATTGTCGTTGTGGATTAAGACTGCCAGTGTTTGATATGATAGTATTGTCTTTGTGGGTTAAGACTGCCACTGTTGGATATGATAGTACTGTCGTTTGTGGGTTAAGACTGCCAGTGTTGGATATGATAGTACTGTGTTTGTGGATTAAGACTGCCAGTGTTGGATATGATAGTACTGTGTTTGTGGGTTAAGACTGCCAGTGTTGGAAATGATAGTATTGTGTTTGTGGATTAAGACTGCCAGTGTTGGAAATGATAGTATTGTGTTTGTGGATTAAGACTGCCAGTGTTGGATATGATAGTACTGTGTTTGTGGATTAAGACTGCCAGTGTTGGATATGATGGTACTGTGTTTGTGGGTGAAGACTGCCAGTGTTGGGTATGATAGTATTGTCTTTGTGGGTTAAGACTGCCAGTGTTGGATATGATAGTACAGTCTTTGTGGGTTAAGACTGCCAGTGTTGGATATGATAGTACAGTCTTTGTGGATTAAGACTGCCAGTGTTGGATATGATAGTACTGTGTTTGTGGATTAAGACTGCCAGTGTTGGATATGATAGTACTGTGTTGATTAACAGATCTTCAATAAAACAGTTAGGCTTATCATGTTTATAGTTCATTTCTACATTTTGTGCTGTGTTGATTAACAGATCTTCAATGAAACAGATATTTTTTGAAATTTTTTTTTAATATTAACATCCAAAAATAGTTAGTGAGAGGATAAAACCTTAACAAAAGGACTAAATATTGGATAATTTTTTATAAATATAATATTTTATACACTTTTTGACATTAAATGTTTAATGTTTCATTTTTAGTGCAAAGCTGAAACTGATGAACAGAGAAGTGACTTCCAGTAGTGAGATACCATGTGGTACAAAGAAAAATGAAGAAGAATGTGCACCGTTGTGTAGTCTGCCCTCTGGGGGAGGTAGTTTGCCAGACACAAAAAGTGAAACAGATACGGACCAAGTGGTTAAAAATACTTATTCCCCATCAGGCACTGAAATATTAAAACTAGGAAAACACAAAGATGAGGGAAGATGTGGGTTTGAGGATTTTCCATCAAGTACTGAACCACTTAAATTAGAAGAACAGAATAATGAGGGAAGCCGTGAGTTGGAGGAAGACTTGGGATAATGTTCCTGTACCCAGTTTGCTCACACATGAAATATCTGAGAGGAAAAGTAGTGAACTCAGAAAGCCAAAGAATGAAAAATTTCCAGGCTTTATGAGTAAAAGGAACGATCGGTGCCACATGTCAAATTCAACTCATCCTGAAGCACTGGATACTTGTCAGATGCATAGTTGTAAAAAGTCATTAGTTCATTCAGAAAAAGTACTTTCATCAGATATAAGGCAAGGTGCAAGGAATGAGCAGTTTATAAAACTCAGCAGTGATGATTCCTCTTGTTATAAACAAGTTAACTGTGTTTCCAAAGAAAACCAAATTTTCTCCGATTTCTATAATTTTCAGGAGAGCTCGTACTCAGCTGGTACTTCTTCTGACTTGCATAGAGTTACAGAAAGAGCTGAGAAATCAGAACATATCTCTGTCTCCTCTACCCCTGAACTTAGAGAGAGAGTTCATGAAAACAGTGCACAGTTCACAGATGATAGGAACATCTTGCAGGAAAACATATCTGATTGGAATAGAATGTTGCCAAACCTTTGTCCAAATGAACAACCTTTTCAGCAAACTTGTTCACCAGTCCAGAGTAATTCAGTACAAGTGACTGCTTGTAATCTCTCTTCTCCTGTAATGATATCTGTTTCCCAAACTGACGTTAAGAAAGCAACCATTAATAACAAACAAACATTGTCTCACACTCATCATACAAACAAACCAAAGATGATGACTTCTGTTTCTGAGTTTTCCAATGATCAAGCAGGAACTTCTCAGCTATCTGTTGATAATGTTAGCCAACCTTATGCTTCAGATCCAAGAATGTGGCATTATGTTCCTGATGTTTTGAGGAAAGACTCGGAGCAGCCGTCTTCAAGTGTTATTAGTCAGCTGTTTGTTACAGACCAGAAAATTAAAGATTCTCATTCCCAGGCTTCTAATAATCAAGTAAGCATGGCTAAAGAGGAACCATCTGATATTTCTTTAGGCAGGGTTAGTCAGCCATTCATTAATGACCCCATGATACAAAATCCCTTTGCCCAGCAGAATGAAAACCAGGCAATCCAAGAAGTGTCATCTCAGTCTGCTTACACTGTTAATAATAATTACTGTAATAAAGACCCAAAGGTTTTGAACAACAGCATGCTACCACCCACTGGAGAGTTAGGAATTTCTACAGAAACAAATCCAAGTGTAGCTGGTTCTTCAGGCTTGTTTTTGCCCCGTGCTAATGGTGGGGCCTTAAATCTATTGCAGCAGCAAGCAGCTTATATTGAGTATCTACAATACCAGCTGTATTTACAATCAGTACTGAAAAATCCTTTTTCTAATCAACCATCTCTTCCATTTTCCTTTTATTCACCACTGCTGACTGATAGTCAAGTTCAGGATAACTACCAAAATAGGTATTTTATTCATTCTTCTCACCCTCCAGACAATATTTATCCAAGTAATCACAATGCAGCATCAGAATTTTCTGTTTGTAAATCAGAAGACCACCAAATTAATAACGGAAATAAGAGAGCCAATGTTTCTACATCATCGCTGCCACCAGGATTTGATTGTTATAATGATTATTTGGTAAACAACAGTACTGCTCATCATGACAATCAAACACAAAGGAATATTGCATCCGGTGATCATCACCGTACAAAAATTTCGTCACCACCAGTTTTACAAGATCAGTTCAGTCAAGTGAAAGGAAGCGGAAGAGCAAGAACCTTCAGAAGGAATACAGGAGAATCACAACAGATGAGAATTCCTGGAACTAGTAACATCAGCTTTCCTGTCAATAATGACAAGAACTGTTGTAGTTCAAACCCAAGAAATGATAATACTTCACAGTTGGAACCATCGAGAAAGAACTCTGTGGAGGAAGACAGTAAAAGGGCAAATGTTCTAAAAATGCAGGTATCAGAAAGATTTATTTGAACATAAAAAATACAGTAAATAACATACCTTTAATGATTATACATAATACACTTTCCTTAAAGCTCGTTAAATTTGAACATTTGAGCTATTATAAGAAATTTATTTGTTAGTTTAATTCATATAAAGTTTCATCCATTCTGTAATACTAGTTGTGTTTATACTCCTGAAATAACTGATGGTTAGATGTCCATACTACTGAAATGACTGATGGTTAGATGTCCATACTACTGAAATGACTGATGGTTAGATGTCCATACTACTGAAATGACTGATGGTTGGATGTTCATACTACTGAAATGACTGATGGTTAGATGTCCATACTACTGAAATGACTGATGGTTGGATGTTCATACTACTGAAATGACTGATGGTT